CTTTTTGTATTAAGTCCTAAAACGTAAGGAAATGCTACTTTGAAACACGCTGACATAGATTCAGCAAGCGTGTTCATCAGGCTATTGTAGGTTTATTTTATGAATGTTCTATTAACCGCCTGATATACGAAACTTCATATTCAACCATCAAGAAAATTGTCAAATTTAACTTGCAGGTTGAATCGAACGAAGTTCCCTAATGTTTTTAAAAAAGTAATGGAAAAGACGTTGCATAAATTGTTCTTTGCTGTTTGTACTTAAGTCGAACGGCGAACGATATAAACTAAGTTTCATGAAATTCTCACTTAGAAAGAATCATTATGCAACAAGACTGTTACCGATAAGGTTAGAGATTAATACAAATGTGAAAATATGATTTTTGCAGTCGGAATGACTCATAAACTTAACAACAGAAAATCGTCAGTCAAGAGATTTTTTTCATACCGCATCGTTGGTACAAGCAGACACTTTCTCTCAAGTTGAAAGTCTTAAATTATTTTTCAACGAGTATTGCCAGATCACTCTATTTCGTTCATCAGACATTTTATAGAAGTTTCTTATGTAAAGTATAACTGAAAGAAGCTAATGAGATGGCAATAATTCAACAAACATGCACAGTCCGATGATGTGCAAGGCGAAAACTCGAGTTCAGCCTTTATTTTAGTCTTCTGTCTGATCGGGGCTTATTCGACTCGATTATGACAGTTAATACAAAAGTTCCTGGAAAAATGGAAGACTGTATTGCATTCGAATAGACAGATATCGAAAGATTATGCATTTTTGATAGGTAGAGCATGATATGTAGTTTATAGAGATACTTTTAGTAGATTTGTTTGACAAGCTAGTAGCGACAGTCATTCAATGTTTTCTTAAACTCTCAGAGAACAGTCTGTAAAGACTTTTTACAGTAAAAGATGGATTGTAGATGTAGAGCTTTTTCTCCACTCGTTCCTCATTCATTTCCAAAATCGAACAGGCATAATTTTTCTTCATTTTACAAAGAACTCTGAGTATATAGCTTAGACTAACACTTGAGCGAAGTCTTGGTACGTGATTTGAAGAATCTATTATATCGCTTGTTTAAAATCTCATTATAGGTTATATATCATCATACGGAGTGGATTTAGTGCTCGATACTTCAGCAAGTTCAGCATTCATAGTACAGATTAGTTTTAAAATGTACTATTCGGTAAAATAGAATTAGATCCAAAATTGAGATTAGTCAGATTTATTCTTCAGAAGTACAGCTAAATGCAATCTTGAAAGTTTTGCCAGAATGAGTAATGATCAAAATCTTATGCGCGAAGTTTTAATTGATGAAGTTTTATTGGTCAAAAGAAATAAAGCTTACAAATCCGTCAAAAAGTGATCAGTTGAAGTTCTTACAAGATGCTTATCACAGCATTCTGATAAATATTTTCAAAATTATTTTATGTCACTAAGAAATATATATTCGAGTGAAAGTTGATATAAGAAATGAAAAATATATGTAATGATCGAAATACAGTTTTCAGAGGAATTGCCTAGAGCCAGGAGATTTTCATCTGAGTTTCTTGTAATAATTGAATATTTCAACAATAGTGAGATGTCTTTTTGCAAGTGAACTGTGCGAATTTTCATCAGTCTCTTGCCTCAACAATACTTGAGACCATTACTCCAATCTGACGCTATCAGTTGAACAACTTTGGTTGTTTATTACGTGTTACGACTCATATGTGGGAGAAAATTTGCCACTTGTTATACTATTTACCCCATCTTTTTTTGTTGTGCACTTTCAAATATTGTATTTCACATGACAACTTAAAATGCATCAGTAACTAGGTAATATGTCGAACTAACATTGGAAACATCCAGATGTTCTAATTTCTAAAACAAAGATGGATGAAAGTTCTCACGTTGATATCTTTTAAACTGCTGAGTAGCCACCAAGTACTTTGCGAAAATGAGAAAGACATAGTGTTGACCCTTGACGAAAAAGATAGAAAAGTGTTGTTCCCATGTATTATCCAGCTTGATTCATGTTGTTCAATTGGCATATTTTTTTCACCATAGAATGCAAAAACAATATTCATACATTTGTCAGAGCCAGCACTAAGAACTGAACAGCATAAACCATTGATGGATCGATTTTTTCTTGACCGGCTCTATCTATTGCTGAATACTGTATATCACTAGTGCCATAAGAAAAGAAAATATCGTCAGGGTCGTTTTCGCCTATAAATGTAGTGTGGTGTCCGCAAGCGAATAGAGTAACAAACTCAAAGTTTGATATACTCTAGTAAGAAAGCATCTTTATTGAATTTTATTTGACGTTCATGCATCGACTCTTTCTATACATTTCGAGTATCTTCGGGCAAATTTTTCAGATAATGACTGACTCAGTTTTNTATTAGAGATTTTAGAATTGGTTATTTTATCTACATTGGAAAAAATCTTTTATACATTCTGATGTTGATTTCAAGAATCGCAATTTCTTGATAATTCTATCGGTATTAGAATATGCGTAAACAATACGCACGAACAACAAGACTAGAGTTGCTTCATTTTAGAAATATAACCGAGTCTATGAATGAGAATCACTCGACACAAAATTTCTACCAGAACCGGGATCGGAACCGGGACCAGCAGAAAAATTTCACCGGGATCACTGAAAAAAATTCATCGGGACCGGGACCGGGACCAGAAACTTTTTACCGGGACCAGAAAAAAGTGATTTTGCAGTGCCCTATTCTGATCATTATTCTACCAATGCATACTGATATTTTTTATGCGACTGACAATCTATCAGAGTTGAGAGAGTCAAGTTGTTTTTAGCATTTTTTCGTTTTTTGTGTATTTATATAAAGAATGTTTAGAGTAAGTTGTTCATGACACGATATCTTGTTCCTAATTTTTACGCACAAAAACAAAATAAGAACAGTCATACAATAAAATCAAATGACACAAATACTATAACCTTATCGACAAAGTAAGGGTAGTAAAATCAACTATTCTCTTTCATACAATACTATAAGGCAATAAAAAAACATTAACTTTTATAAACAATAACCTTAACCTAAAGTTTTCTACTAGCAAAAAATATTTAATAACATTTAAATAAATGTTTTATTGCACTTCAATGATGTTAAAATGCTCGTTCAACTGATGCAACAGGAACACACACTTGATTTTTCTAGCAGGTTTATTAAGAGACATCCAATGAGAGGACCCAAGAATCAAGGCAGTGATCAAAATTTAGATTTTTGATGCTTTTTATGTGTACCGAACAGGTCATCATCTAAAACCACCAAGCCCTAATTTTAAACTCACTCGGATGTTCTATAGTAAAGTTAGCCAAGATCAACTTTTTTGCACTGCTTATCTACTGTCTAGAAAACAATGATAAATTGTTTCATAAATGTCTACTAGGATTATACTTCAATAAATTAGACAATTTTTTCATGAAAGGTACCAAAAGATAGAGCATGAAAAGCAGAATAAAATGAGTTATTTCAAATACTGTATATCATCTATTTACTGGTGTTATTTAGGCTAACAAGAGTGAGCAAGTTGACAATTCATGAGTCTATAATGGCCGATGTTTGACTGTATATCTGTTGCCATATTTTTAAATCAAACGAAATCAAACTTACTTTTTCTATATAATGTATAACATGATAAAAGAAAATATTTAAAAAAATTTACCTTCAGGTCGAAACGAAGTTCACACCTCTGTTCTACATAGTGATTTTTGATGATTTTTCAAAAGCAAAAAATTTTTATTTAGCAGTTTTCATTGTCATATTGCCACTGTTAAGCAAAATAACTGTGACATTTGGGATTAACGTCAAATCTATATTGAGTCAAATACATTTAAGCGATTTTTTTTCCTGCGAAAAGATAACTTCTGAAGGACCACAGAGAAAAACTTTGATACAATACGCCCGTGGGGGCGACACGTGATTTTTGCATAGAAACAATATTTCTTTAAAATGTGTTTGATTCAATATAGTTTTTGACACTGATTCCGAATGTCACATTTATTTTACTTTACATTTGCGTCACGACAATGGAAACTGCTACATAAAAATTTTTTTCTTTTGAAAAATCATCAAAAATCACAATGTAGGACAGAGATGTGAACCTCGTTTCGACCTGAAGGTAAACTTTTTTCAGTCATTTTTTTTATCATGCTATATATTATATAGAAAAAATAAGTTTGATTTCGTTTGATTTAAAAATATGGCAACAAATATGTCATTAAACATCGATCATTATGGATGCATCAATTATCATCTTGCTCACTCGTGTTAGCCTACATAACACCAGTAAATAGCTGATATACAGTATTTGAAATAGGTCATTTTATTCAGCTTTTCATGTCCATCCATGCAATCTACTGGTGGTATATTGTTGGCACTCATGAGTATCACGGTTTATCAGCGATAGTACGAAAAACATGCAACATAAGTTATTGCATGGAGAACAAGACAAACATTCATCTCGCATGAAAGACGTGTACCGATAGAATAAGATGCGAACAAATTATGATTTTATCTATGAAAATAAGTGTTTTTTATATCGGCTTAATTTGATCAAGCTTTTCTTTATATGACTATTTCAACGTATTTTATTTTCATTCATTCTGCATTGAAAATTATCTCTATAGTTCATTGTATAGTAGTTTAAGAGTAATATGTAGCGTGCTTCTATTTTTTTACTGTACCTGATACTCACTCGATTTGTGCAGGTGTTTGAAAGAAGAATAGAAGAAAGAAAAATACTGCTGATGAAGTAGTCATTTTTATTCTTTCAACTATTGGTTTGCCAACACGTTTTTTGAGTGACTCGTTCTTTTTTCCTATAGATCACGGTGAATAGATGTGAGTGGAAGAATACATTTACTTTGGAAGCAAATATTTGTTACTCGAAAAAAAAGGCTTTTGAAAGCTTTCTTTCTTATAACTGCATATTGATCTGAAACTAGTTTTAGATTTTTACTGATTTGAATCGATTTCTGTATGTTAGATCAAGCATTTTGTGACGAGACATTAGATATGAAACCATTGGAAACAGAAATTCGTCATTCATTCAGTCATCATATTATCATGTTGTGCAATCAAAAATGGAAGATAGTTGAGGAGATTACAAAATGGGGCACTACACTTATTTCTCAAATTCAAGAATATGTTACTCAACAAAGAAAACTTCTCGACGAAATATATGAAAAGAAGGTGCTTTATCTTGATACTATACGTGATCGAATCCTTGAACAAACTCTGATATATGAGCAGAAAACAGATAACGAAGAAATTAATCAATGGTTAAATCAACTTAATACTCTAAAAGTTGAATTAGCTACCCTAGCTTATATTAATCGTCCGATTTCAACGATACAATTGGTAACAGAAGAACAATCAATGCAACCAAATGTAGATGAGTACAATGAATATAAGACTCAAGATGAACAATCTTCAGAGAAAATAATCGATAATAACGAGAAAAATATTATCAATAATACTGATACGATTGAAAATAAACCGTCAAAAGTGACATCTACAAATACAGAATCAATAAAGTGAGTTTCTCTGTCAATACATCACTTGATTGTATGCATTTCAATCTCCTTTTTTTGCAGTACATCGCCATTAATGACAAAACCTATGAATAATGAGGATCAGTCGATCATAAACAATTCTAAATTGAAAAACAATGTCTCCAATGATAATGAGTTACTCAAAAGATGTCCTATATGTTTTATGATATTTTCACAGAGTATGACTGCACACAAACGAAATCTACATGTCAATGAACATTATTAAATTGATTGACAAAACAAAATTTCTACTTCCATCTAGAAAATCTTATGAAACTTAGCTAATATTTTTTATTCATATAAATTTCAAAGATGATGAATATTTTTATTTTATTTGCATATGCCTTTACACCTAGAAATGTTAAGAATAAAATTTTCCTCTTTGAAAGCATATTTAATTCATTTTGACTTATTAGCTGCAGAAAACTTCATCACCGTTTATAATCAAAGTTACAATAATCATTATCGTCAGTATAACTGTGATCCCTGAAAATAAATGAAAATTATAAAGAACTCCTTTAACATGTGCCCATGCGTTGGAAAGAAAAAAAAATATTAACGAAGTAATTATGTTCTGTTCTTGCAAGTATTTACTTGCCAATATGTTATTGGCATTTTTTTTTGTATGCGTGCATGTCAATTTTTTTTCTTTTACTCGAAACGATGATTCTACAGAATGAGAACCACATTTTATCAGAACAATGTATATATACGGGGTGTCCCTAAAGTCCTTCGAAAAATTTAACATAAATTTCTCTTATGCAATTCAAGAGATTTAATTGATCTTTTTAAAAATATCTAAGTACATATGTTTCTTAAAATTTTGCTCTCTATATTTTCAGATAAATGCCTAGGCCTATGAACATTAGAATAATAAAAATGGTTTTATAAATTACCAAATTTGAGTCATCTACTGTTGTGAAACGAAAACTACAAGTCGAATTCGACAAAAAGGCACCAAGGAATGATTTCATTAAATTTATATTTCAATGCTTTTGTAAAACTGTTACACTGAAAGATCGAGACCTTTCTGAAGGACGATTAAAAACTACACAAGAAAAAGTCGACGAAATTTATGAGGTTTCCGAAAAATAAACAACAATCAAATTTTCGAGTAGTCGCAAAAGGTATACTCTATTTTATGAACAATCAGGCAACCCAATTACAACTAAATATCTTTCATTCAAACCGCACAAGGTGCAGTTTGTTCGTGAAATGAAGCAAGCCTTTTTAATATCTCGAACACATGATTGCGATTCGTTTTTCACAAGCATCATGAACTTTGCCGACTTTTTCTTCTGTGATTTTTGACAACCTTTCCACAACGTTCTAGATCTTTCACTGTACCAGTTTCACCAGAGCATTGAAATGTAAGAAAAAAAACAATGAAATTGCTCGAATTGTATAAGACAAATTTACTTTAACTTTTCCGACGGACTTTTGAGGCACGTTATATATCTATAACATTTTAGATTTCTATTTACTGTTGCCACTTTCGTTATGTCAAATTATAAGCACCTTTATCCACCAGTTCGACAATGTCGATCGGACACAGAAATTCGCAATTTATTCGAACGTCATATGAAAGTATTGTATGATCAAAAACAGAAGATGATTAATGAGATCACTGAATGGGAAAATAATCTTATACGTCAAATTCAAGAAAATGTTGTTAATCAAAAAGCTCTATTGGAACAAGAATGTAAATATCAGCTAAATTATCTTCAAGTTAAATGTCAAGAATTTCTCGATACAGCATTGATCTATGAAGAGAAAAAGACCAGAGAAGAAGTTCGCCAATTAATTGAACAATGTCATGCTTTAAAATTTGAAATAGCTATATTTGAATATCCAGAACGACTTATTCCATTTATTCAAGTGCAAAAACAAAAACAATCCGACGAAGTTAAACAAGATGTGTTCAGCGCGCATAAAATTAGTAATAAATCGACAAATAGTGATGATTTTATAATAGATAGTAATAAAAATCTACATGCATCTACATCTTCTATCTCAACATCTGCAAGTTCTAATCAAATAAAGTGAGTACTAGTGTACTGCGTGATTGATATTGTTGATCACGATCACGGTCACGAATATGATATGGTTCATGACCACGCTCACGATTTTTTCTGCTTTGATAATCACGATCACTAATTTTCCAGTTCAAATTCACGATCTCGATCTCAAGTATAATATGATATTTACAAACATGAGAAAAATCTTTTATCGGTCGATCGTGCCATCTATCTGATATATTGTATTGGATATGGTCAAAGGGAATAGAAGCCAAGAGCAAAAGTCGATAATTTTCGTTTAGTTATACGCAGGAAAATACTTTAAAGATGTAGCGAACTTTAATTTATGTTCATTAGAGGGTTATATTTCTAAAATAAATAGCTGAAATTTTGAACGGCATATTAAAATCGTAATTACTAAATCTTAAATTCGATCACGATCACGAAAAAATTTTCTAATCACGCACGATCACACGCGATGGTGATCGTGAAATTTTTGATCACGCGGTACACTAATGAGTACATTTGATCATGATTTAATATTCAAATTTTCTTTTTTTCGATTTTCTAGACAACAGTTATTGACAACTTTATCTGCTATCCATGACAATCATTCGATAATCGACAATGATAATAGAAATTCTAACATGATAAATCATGATGATATCCTCAATAAATGTCCTGCTTGTTTTATAATCTTTCCATCAACTATGGGAACTTATGAACGATCTCAACATGTTAATAAACATTTTGACGATAGTTGAGGAATTAATATCAAGTCAATGGTCTTCGAATATTGAATTGTTTACAAGTATTTGTGTTCTTTTCTCATTGAAGAAAAGAATTTTCATTAATTTTCTCTTGTCGCTGTTATATTACATCACATTCAAATCATATTATTAGTTTTTATTTGTAAACGAACATATGACTTCCGTAAGGTATCTTTTCTTTCTGAAGAAAGAAACAACAATGTCATGAATACATTGAAATAAAGTATTGTCCAGAGTGTTTCATTTTTATTATTCATAAAACTACGAAATCAAGACTGTTACTATTGTTTTTCATTGATAGGCATTCCAAGAAAGAAAAACCGGTCTTTTATCACGATGTTATCGGACGGGTTTCATTTACCGCAGCAAACTGCTGACATTCGCCTGTTAACTGCGAGTTAGCTGATCATTTTTTCCGATAAAACTAGTCGCTTCTGCTTGATACAGAACTTAAATATGGTATCCATCTGAAACATTTCCTGAGAATGAAAATGTCTTCTAAGCAATATCCAATTTACAGCTTTTTCCTGAAGTTTTACCAGTTACCACTAGCAAATCAGCGGCTTTGTAACTAACTCGTGTTCATTCAGAACACAAGATACATTGAAGATAAATATATCCATGACTAGTAAGTTTTTATTATCTTAGACATCGTTCGAGAACTGTACGAGGAAGAATCTATCAAAACATAGTTTTTAGGAAACATCTGTTTTCGTTTTAGGTTTTGTGTACAGTTTGCTACTCAGGAGTTAACTCATCCGAATGATAGATAATTTTCTTTTAAGCTCGTATCATGTTCATAGATATGGCTCATAGTACAGATACAAATTTCGAAAGAGTTCATGCCCTTAGACCTTTTTTCTCTACTGTCGGTCTGAAATTTTCCGTAACCGTAGCTCTCATGGTTGTTATGATGTTCTGAAAGTTTCAGTTCAAGCGGCTTTTTTTCTTCTGAGATAAGAAGTTTGAAAAACCCCTTACTTTCACACAGGAATTTCACTTTCAGAATGCCAAAAGAACCATGAGAGCTATTGTTGGGAGAATTTTCAGACCGAGACTCTCTGTTGCGGTTTTGCTTGAGATACCCTGCAATAGATTGAGAGTTCAGTGAAATGGTTATAAATCGAGAGCCAAGGACAAATGGCACGAAACATTTTCAAGATTTTTATCTATACTATGAGTTTCCTTGTGAATGAGCATAAATATAATTTATTTGTTGAACCGAGCTATCAAATATATTTAATCGATGAAAAATGAGAAAATAGTACTCCTCTTAGGTTACACAGAACTTTTGTGTTTAAAGATGCTACTTATCGGTTATTGCAAGTCAATACAGAATTTATTTTCTTGTAAACATGCAATTAATCTCGCTCACATATTCTATCATTGAAATACCTGAATTTAAAAATACCAACACGGGAAATAAATACCGGCAATAAAAGAAAAAAATCAACTGCGTATACTTTGAAAGTTTCTAACTGTGACTACATTTCTTTCTATATACACCAAAAATAGCAAGAATAAATAGCACTTTTAAATCTTTTATATTCATTTATTAGATTTTTCTTTATCTAAATATTTTCTTTATTATATTTAATTCACAATAGAAAAGGACAATTGATACTTATAATACTATGTGGAAACTTTCTCACCAATATTGTACCGTATATTATCGTAATATGATAGAAACTGAGTGAACAGTACTTAGCTAATTATTTCAACGAAGATTTATGACAAAAAACAAAGTCTTTTAAACTTTCGCTTGTTGAAGATTTATTTTCTATATGATAGAGGACATAAAAATCTTTATTTGCGACTCATGAAACTCATGTCTTGATTTACTTGATAATATATTTTAAAGTACTATATATTATTATTTTTCGCATTTTTTCTGTAACATTACACACCTTTTTGCTTCGCTCCCTCATTGATATCAAGAGTTGTTCCATATCTAGTTCTTTTAAACATTTCTAATAATACTTCATGATGTCGAACATGAACGAGAATAAAATTAATATTTAGCTCGTCTGTTTTTCTTAAGATGAAAACTTACTTAAACATGCTTGCAAAAAAAGCAACCGAAAGAATTTTTTTCTATTCTTTTTTATTTATTTTCACAGCACGTTGTTGCACAATGATTCGCCGTTTTTTTTAATATTCTTTTTACATTTGCCCCAGTCTGTTTCTCTTTCTTCGCAATTATGAATGCTAGAAATTGCTAAAATATTTGTAGAACAAACATTTTGCTTAAAAATATCTTTGAAAATTTTCAGATTTTCGTTTATTAATATGACTTATAATTTGTATACTTATACATCTTCATATGGATCTAGAAGATCCATGGATGAAATTTATTCCATATTTAGACGCCATATGGATTCATTGCATGATCAAGAGCGCAAGGCCCATCAAGCGATCGAAGAATGGAGCACCAGCCTAATGGTTCAAATAAGAGATTATACGTCCCAACAAAGGCGTCTTCTTCAACATGCCTATGAAAGTCATCGAAAATACCTTGAAGACATGCGTGGCCAATTCGTTGAAACAAGTTCAATCTATGAACAGAATAAGGATACTGAAGAAATAAATCGACTTATCGAAAGATGTAAAACTTTAGAAGTGGAATTAGTTAAGTTAAACTATCCTTCAAAGGACACACCATTTATTGAAGTTATACCAGTAGAACCGCCAGAACAAATGGATCATAAAAAGTCCAATCAAGGTAAAACTGGAAATGAAAGCATTGAAAAGTCATTAATCGAGAAGAGTGAAACTGAATCTTTACCTGATGGAGGAGACTCTGACATTAACTCATATTCAAAATCAACATATGCAACTTTCAATCGAACAAAGTAAGTTAGTATAATACTAGATTTAACCATTGTAATGACTATTTTCAAACTTATTTTTCAGGCAAACATTGACGAATGCTTCTGAACTTTCCACAAGTGATAATGATTATAATAGACCAGAAACGTCTGGTATTGGCGATGATAGCTCGAACAATAAATGTCCCGTATGCTACATGATATTTCCATCGAACATGTCAACAACTCTTCGATCAATTCACGTGGGAAAACATTATGAAGATAATTGAGAACGAAAGATAGAAGAGATATAATTTAGAGGTTGACTATTCTAAGCAATATTTCATCATTTATGTTGTTTACATTGTAAAATTCCAGATGAAAAAAAAAATAATACTTTAAAATTTTTCATTATTATTTGATGCTGTCAATACCAGATTTGTTATAGCGGTAAGTCGCATATCGAAACTAAACAATCCTGCTTTATCTGCGAACATTGCGAAATGAACACAAAAGCAAAAATGAAAATAGATATGACTGCAAAACTATATTTTTATAGATTGATGCTCATACAGCTCTCGAGTGATATCTAAGATAATAAAACAAGCATATATTCAACTTCAATGTATCTTGTGTTCTGAATGAACACGAGTTAGTTACAGAGCAGCTGATTTGCTAGTGGTAACCAGTAAAACTTCAGGAAGAAGCTGTAAATTGGATATTGCTTAGAAGACATTTTCATTCTCAGGAAATGTTTCAGATGGATACCATATTTAAGTTCTGTATCAAGCAGAAGCGACTAGTTTTATCGGAAAAAATGATCAGCTAACTCGCAGTTAACAGGCGAATGTCAGCAGTTTGCTGCGGTAAATGAAACCCGTCCGATAACATCGTGATAAAAGACCAGTTTNTTTCTATCAGATTGGATATAACACTAGCATCCTTTTGTCAGGATAGTGGCCTTAGAATAGAGAAAATAATTTAATAGGAGCGTATATTGCTACTGTAGTACGTAAAAAAGCACGGGCGTACTAGGGTTAATATCATTTTACTTAAAACTCAAACTTGAAAAACAGGAAAAGTATTGTCTTACAGACAAATCAATGTGCTGTATAATCTGAGTACATCACAAACGATTTGGTCAAATGTTTATTAGTACGAAAAATTGATTTTCTAGAAAACCAGCATATAAAAAGCTAAATCGGTTTTTCGTGATCATATACAAAATCAGCTTGGTTTATAACTCATTATTTAGTAGCTTTTGATGAAAAAGTGATTGCTCAATTAAAATCGTTTCCCTCGTGACTTAAAATGTTTTCTCTGTCGAAGCACTGGTCGCTGGTATGACATATTCTGTGCTGACTACTCTTGATAATAATGGAAAACCACGACAAGTTGTATACCTAGACTAAATCTTCATTGAACGACGACCAATTAGGTGAATCGGATATCTTGCAGGACTCAAATATTATCGTTCAGGTCTTGCATCATAAAAAAATGATTGTTCTGTTTCTGAATGTGCACGACAAACTTTATATGGCACCGCTATTCTTATACTAGTTGATAAAATCAGAATTCTGCCGGAGTTCTGACGATATATCAGAACCATTTATTTCAATAATTCTTATCTATCTCAAATAGTGTATTGGTAATGTCTTAAATGAATATAACTTGTTAGATGCACAGATAAGCGCATATGATGAAACACAATTCTCAGTAGAATTTTAACTTAGAAGGAGTTATAAGAGTAGAAAATGCAAGGGGGAAACAACTGATTATTGATTAGGGTTGATTAGACTTGATTAGGGATGATTAGGAAGATGATTAGCTTGAAAGCTAATCATCTTCCTAATCATCCCTAATCAAGTCTAATCAACCCTAATCAGCCCTAATCAACCCTAATCAACTCTAATCAATAATCAGCTGTTTCCCCCTTGAGAAAATGAGATGCATAAGCGAACAATGAAAATTGAATCAAATAGTTAAATTCTTAGACTCTGCTTGGAATGAATTCTGTCACTGCTGGATTCATAAGGAACGAAGATTGATCTTCTTCTTTTCCTTTATCTTGCAATTGTATATTCGATCGATTCAGAATACATCAAATAGTCAAACATTAATCTTGTCCGATTATGCTGAAATAATGTGCCTACATAAAAGTTAAGTAAATAGAAAAATTAAGCAGAACATGCAAATGAAATTTGCGGAGAGCATACTGTGCTTCAGACTGTTTCCTTGGAATCTGCGGTCAAGAGCCACGTGGAGCTGAATTTGAACACAGGATTTGTAAATACAATCAGAGTTTTTTCTCTCCCCTTAATACTGTTCGTTTGTGATTTGTTTTATCAATAGCCATGATTAACACAATCCATTTCATTTTTGTGCAACGAATTGAAAAAAATTTCCAGCTCAATATCTAGCGGTAAAAAGGTGAAATCAGTTATAGCCGCTTAATTATATTGCATTTGAAAATATTCAGCACATTGATTATAATCCCTGACTGAGTCATAAGAGAAGCATCGCTCAGTGTGTTGCCGATCGTGGCAGGGGCTGAAAAGGTGCATTGCGAGAGTGTATGTGGGGGGGGGGGGGTCGATGCACGTGAAAAGGAAAACCTTACTCATGTGACTGATATCCGCAATATTTTGTTGATTGTTAACCATAAATCGCTTTATTTCTAATTTTTCTCTTGAGAAAACCTGACACGATCTTGCTGAATGAAAGATTGAAAAAATTTCGTTAAGTGTTATATTGAAAATGAGAATTCTTTCGATAGAAATTTTTTGAACATTGTAATGGAAAGTAGAATATTTTCCAATAAAAGAAGTCAGTTCTTGGTGATACAAGTACTTGAAACTCATTAGTTGAGAGTGAGCCATGGTGATATTTATGAGTTTTATAGTGATATCTGCACCAGTATCGAATTGAGTTGCTTCTATTTTTAAAATACGATTAGAATTAATAAGGGGAAAACCACCAATTTCTTTGTTAAGACCACCTCTAACACCTACATCCAATACATGCAAACCAGGAGTAAGGTAAATAATATCACTAAATATACATGTCACCACTACTGATGAAGTTGAATGCCAATAAAAGCCACCATTTTTATCGATATCATCCATCATTCCGCATCCATGAGCATATTTACGTCAATCAGGAGTATTGGGCAAAAGTCAACTCACATAATGTAGATAATTGTCAATCATCAAACGGAGATATAGTCAAGCTGCTCAAGCAGGCGTTTGGCATTTGCATTCAAATTGAACTTTGTACAACACTGGCTCAGTGTGATAGACGAATATTGGAAAACTAATAGGCTTAACAAATGTGCCAGTCGTGTTGTATGCAGTGTATAATCCTCGTTGTTCTTTGATGTAATAGTATTGAGATTTAATGAAACAATTACCAAGTGGCTCTGAAGGAATTCGAATTATGTTGGTTGATGTTATAATTCCTCTATCGGATTTGAAAATCAAGATGATAAGTATAACATTATTAGAACATATAAATATTATTATGCATGATTAAGGTCTTGAAAGTCTAAGGAAAAGTCCCACATATCTTTCATTAAAATACGAGGCTTGGAGAAACGCATATTTACATGCTGTTGACTCTATTTATCTTTGAAAATACTGGATATTCCAAAATGTTTGAAACATCGCGTGTTTTGCATATATCTCAGCACAACAGAAGATAAAATCTTGAATGTATTTTAATAGATGCGCCGTTCAACTCTTGATAAACTTCTGCTAGCCTTAATATCAAATAATAGAACTCAACTTTCGTATAGATCACATAATGTGACTGCATAAAATGCGTCTACATCTCACACATGGTTTTCATTTACAGATAACGCTCCAATGCCTTCCTAACTTTGCTAATATACAAAATTTTCTAATACTCATTTTTTCGTTTAAAGAATGTTTGATGCAAAGCCAGTTTTTGAGAATAGCAACATTTTCTCTCTTTGTCATTTTTCTTCAAAAAAACATCCTAAAGATCCCATTTGTGGCCAAAACGTATTTATTTTTACAATATATTACCAATGAAGTTTGTCTTTCTACTTAGAGCTTCAACGGCATATGATACTACATGATTCCGCTGAAATCAGGGCTTGAACATTGTCAGAAAGCCGCTTTTCGCTGTGGCAACGCCAACAGACCGTTCCTATTCGTCAAAAGTAAGTTTTAATCAAATGCTTACAAATTACTCTGTAAGAGCACTTGATGTTCAATTGAAATACAGAAACTCAGTCTTTTAGGAGCCTCTGTATACCGTGAAAGAAATCGGTAATATCATAGTAAAAAGTAGTGGGAAGTACAGTGTAAAAAATAGGCGTAGAATAATAAACCCTTTTATATACTATTTTAGGATTTATGAATTTCATAAACCCTTTCATATACCCTTTTAGTTCATCAACTCTAGGAAGGGTATTTTATGCGTTGTACTTTCATAAACCCTTTAGGGTATATGAGCAGTAATATACCCTTACAAGGTTTATTAACTTCATAAACACTTCCGAAAAGGGTATTTTATTCTACGGCTTCTTCTAAAGGGTACATTAATAAACCCACACCCGAAGGGTTTATAAAGTTAATAAACCTTTTAAGGGTATATTACTGCTCATATACCCTAAAAAGTTTATGAAAGTACGACGTATAAAATACCCTTCCTAGGGTTTATGAACTAAAAGGGTATATGAAAGGGTTTATGAGATTAATAAACCCTAAAAGGGTATATAAAAGGGTTTATCATTCTACCCTTATTTTTTACAGTGTAGGCGCTTTTCATACAATCTGACTATGCAGGGTGTGGATGTGAGTGAGCATAGATGTGATTTAAGAGAATAGTAAATCCACATCCACATTCATAAGCACACCTCGTCCTAATCAGTGCTATGGCGTCATGCCATGCAGTATGTGGTCGTCATCAGCACTATGCCATCCTCTTGGATAATGCGTCTTAATGAAAATGCAAGTCGCTAAGTATTACGGGTGGTACCAACATTTCATAGGATGTTGAGTCTTTAGGGAAATTAATAAGAAGAATTTAGGCCCGGGCCAAAATTCATGTAATCTACAATGGAAAAAAGAAAAAAGCACATTGATTTTATATACGAATTTTATATCGGCTAGTTCATTATCATGTTAATTAGTATTTCAATATATTTATTCTAAGGATAAAAGATACATATTAAAAAGTTAAGTAAAATACAACAATAAAATTCAACTGAAAATTTCAGCCTGCCAAAAAGTAAACACGATTCAGCTAAATTTGACATCTATAGATGTGAGGACAAGTAATATGCTTGACATGGTTTTCGGTCAATAAAAACGTCAAATACGTTAATTAACAGATATATAGGTATAGTTCCTAATAATAATCCTAATTGAACTGTTCCACCATAGTAAAGCATGCCCTTATCGCTTGCCCATTCACTTTTGATACGATTTCCAATTGTTATTCGTAGAAAACCACTTGTAAATGACATTATAAACCATATTGTAATAATCATCAAAGCACCTTGTTTGGTGTCTGCTAACCATGGACATGGACTTTGTCCAGCAATAATAAAAATGAAAGTAGAAGGTAGCCAATTAAATATTGATTGAATGACAATTAGATGATTCGACACAGATTTCCAATATATGCTTAATAGTAATGCATGTGGATAAGCAATCGGAATGAGAACACTCCAATAATAGAATGCTTTCTGACCAAAAGGTAGCAAAACATACGTACTCAATGACGGCAAGCATCCGAATGATATAGTCGAATTAAGAGTATTAAGGATTCAAAAAAGAGTAAATACACGTTGTGACATGTGTTGAATAGATTTCGATGATGTTTGCAAGTTGATAACATCAACCATAAGTAAGTTCTCTTCGGCAACAATGTTTTTGATAGATTTTACTTTTTCAGGAACATTCTACAATGTAAAACCATAAAGGAATGATGTATCCGTCTAATTAATAAGATAAATAAAGAGAGTTCTTACAAGAATGAAGATTTGGAAGCCTTCTTTCATTTTTAAATGATTTCCGCCTTTTCTGCAATCAAAATTTTGGTGTGAGAATTAGTGATACTGAGTCATGTTAATTGAAGGTAAAACAACAATAAATCCGTTTACAAACTCAATATAGCGTTAATCTGCATTTTCAAAGTTCTTTCTGAGATATCTAGAAGCCGCTTACCATTACTGCAGCGTCGGCTAATATAACTATACTTGTCCATCTAAGAAGAATGAAGGAAATTAGTGATGCGATGATGATACCTGCGATACAAAACATGAAAATTTTGACACTAAAACGTGGTTGAGTATAACTGGGTTCTAGAATGGTGCTATTGCTTTTCTGAATGCCTATTGTTTCACCTGATGCACCTTGAGCAAGCATTAGTATAGGAAGAATAGAAGATGTCAGTGCTTCACCTAAGAAAACAGCTCTTAAATATTGCGTGCGAAATCGTTTCATATAGTCGAAAAAGACCAAGGATGATGTACAGTCCAGCATTGATAGAATAAAAATACACACGAGTAGCTACACACTTCTTTGGCGACCAAATAGAAACATTGTTTTCTGCCAGAATAAGGCTAAAACCAAACAGGCAATTACCTCGACCATGATAATTATGTAAATGTAAGGAATTTCAGAGAAGCATTTTCCTTGATACCAACGCAGCAGTACAACAATAACAGGAACAATATTAGCCGCACAGACACAAATGGCTGCTATAGACGGTAAAGTCCATCTTTCTGGAGTAAATGGAATAATAAGAGGTATTTCAACAAATAATCCTTGCAAATCGATCCATGTACTCAAATTCATGATAGCAATTAATATGAAACACACGATTCGAGCCCATCGTACTGATGTAAATCTATAGATAATAACTTGAAAAATTGATTGAATAATAATATTTGAAATATTTTCAATGCAATATGCTATCTGTCTGAATCTCGGATGTTGATACGTGTTGTTACAGGTTTTTTGATCAAACCATAATAAAGTTACTTATGTAGATCAAATCGAGTCACAGACCTATAAAGAAAATAATGGATGAAAGTTTACTTACTTTTTTATATTTTGAACAGTATTCTGATATCTTTCATTTTCTTTATCATTTGCTTCAGACTCTGAACTCGAGATCATGACACAATATTCTCGTACTCAAAGACGGACTACTACAAAAAGATTATTATTTCTTTTTCTATTCTTCAGAATGATATGCAGAGTATGTGATGAAGGACTGATGAGAACAAATAAAAAGACCGATAAGAACAGCCATTACGATAAGAATAATTCGGACACATCATATGATGCAAGTTATATGCATCTACTGTTAGTACGAAATATGTGGCAAAAAAGAATTTAGAGTTGTATCAATTTAGCAACGATCTATGCTAAATGAACTATTCATGAGTATTTGATTTTTGTCGAAAAGACATGTCTTCAGTTTCTATACAATGCATATGTACATGCACTCTAAAATAAAACGTGACGCATTTATACATTGGTAGTTATAGTGTCTCGGACGCTATCATGAAAATGTGCTTTTCTATGAATGTGTCGTGGTCTGTCTGCTAACCCATGACCTCAAAATTGCCACACTTTGGACGATTAATCGGCGATTTTTGCCGAAATGGTACATAAATCGTGCTTTCCCATGAAAAATCACCAAAACTCGAGATTTTATCGTTAAAAATCGCCAATTTCAGCGATTTTATCGCGATTTACCAATCCGATTAATCATGAGATTAAATCGCGATAAAATCGTCGATTTTCACTGAAATCTTCACATCGGTAATATTATAGGAAATTGCATGACATCATTCATGTTTTCGTCTCACTATATCAGCAGCTCTATTTTTCTTCGTGGCTAACCTCTTTGGTTGTCTTATTCCTTCTTTTTCTATAGATTATATTTGTTATCTTTCGATTCGGTTCTTTCTTTGGAACAAGAAACATGAAGAAAACGGAGTCGAGGAGGGCCTTGCAATGTTAGTCTAATGTCATCTACAAAATTTCATGAAAGTCCTGTTGTTTTTTATGAATGTTGATTTTGTTGCCAAAAGTGCAAAAAAAATCGTCAGTTTTGATGATATATCGCGATATAATCTCACAATTAATCGGGCGATTATTCGCGAAAACATCGTCGACTTTGTGGCGATTTTGAGGACATGGGAACTATTCATTCACCGTTTCATTTTCCGCACACACCTACAGAGAATTAACTCCATTGAACATAACGAGCGAATATATTTTCGTATGCCTTTTATTCTAGCTCATTTCTTGATCATGTATTTATTAGTCGAGAACATGTCGACAGGTCGATCAATGATCAAATGACCTCTAGACGACTAGATTCAAAGATTTGGTCGTCTTGAGCTTTAAGAATAGGTATCACTAATACGAATACAATTGGAAAAATAGCAATTTTTTCCTTCTGTGCAAAAAATGACAAATTCGATAAAGATTGGATTCAATTCACGTGTTCAAAATGTGTCACAAGAATGTATTATATATTGTATTGCAACGCATGATAAATGTGATACATTTGTTTTAATGTATATATATATATATATATATGAATATCTTTTTTATATTTGTGTCAAATTCCAGTGAATATTTAAAAGACAATACAAAAATATGTTCCAATTTACAAAAAAAATCTGCAAAAACAACAAAATTAAATTTTTCAGAATAACAATACAACTAATTTATACCCAATATGTAAAACCAATTGCAGCTTTTTACTATTAACCTAAAAAATATCAATAAATAGAGTCATTTGAATTCTAGATTTTTACTTTTGACCATACGTAAATTTAGAATCATCTTTCAAACGGATGTTGGTCCAATGCTTTAATGTTTTCGTGGATATATACTCAACGATAATTATTTCTTCAACAAATAATAGTCATTAAGCAAGTCATACATTGCTCTATGTCATCGCACCAACGATCATATTATTGAAGATGATCAATTTAATAAATATATGCATCACAAAGTATATAAAATAAAGCAGACGCTATGCAAGAATACTTTCTAATACTCACAAAGAAATGGTATTGTAGTATATATTGAAAACTGATAAAAAAGTTAGTCACAATCCTGAGTCATACAATATTTTTTTATTCTAACACTCGATTTGATGTTATGACGATATATATCTGCGTATGCAAGTCATTAGTCAAACAAAAAGATAACAGATTGTAGAATAAATATAAAAATGACTTGTTAGTGGATCATACATTCATTTTCTTCGTATTAGTTATTTGTGAATACAATTTGAAATTTACATGGCTGATCGTTTGGTTGAACTCATTCTCAACATTACTTTATGGACAGCTCAAGGCATATGTGTCTTTTATGAAGCCAAACAAAGAGCCAAATCACAACAAGAGTCATCAAGTCGTGATCGATCTAAAAGATCATTGTCCCAATTATCATCGATTAGTGCATATCCACGAGCAGTACTCATTGCATCGAGTTCAATTAGGTTTGGTAATGATTGTGAACGTCTTGTTAATATAGCATTTCAAACGAGTCAAACTTTCCCTACAATCATGGGCACTTGTGCTGATGTCAATCAATACTTAGGCAAAGAGCTTAGAAAACAATATCCTGATGAATGTTTTCATATTATTATTGGTGAAAATCATGAATTTGGTTTTTCTGTTGATGATGGTCAATATTTCGCAGAAATTGAACAAAATCGATATCGAGTATTGATATTTGCAACTAAACGACATTCACACATAAAATTAAACACAGATGATGCTAATAGCCAAATGACACTTAAATGGCACTAGATGCGTTTAAATTTTACTAATCTTAATGCATTCTTTCTTTCTTTCTTCCTAATAGATGCAAATTTTCATATCCAATAAAACATCATATTTATAGATGTCAAACAATCGAATTTTCTGCTTGTAATCAGAAAAAAATCATTAAGATAATTGAAAAGCAATGTTGCACATTCAATATCTTTTTGAATCATATTAAGAGAACTAAGATTTCTAAAAACAATTGAATATATGTGGCTCCTATTAGCAGATAATAAAATCAATCTTTTTTTGTATCTTTGAAATACTCATCCCCTCTAATTTGTTTAATGTTCATGATCTATAAAATGCTTAATTTCTGCTGTTCTATATTGCGAATGACTAAAGCTGATTGACAAGCTATTCATGTGATACGAGATGAAGTTTTTATCAGAATGTGTTATTTATATGATAAAATAGATAACAACACCTAAACTATATATATAAACGTGCAATATAAATTAGAAAAAGTAGTAACTTGTTTTCTCTTCTTGTATACAAATTAGAATATTCATCATATAGAAAACGAAATGGTTCAAGCAATCTAACTTTGTCTGTTTAATAACAAACTAAAACATTAGTTACATTAGCATTTACACTTATTCAAGATGAATGTGCAGTACTTATTGCTGCAAGTACGATTACTTGTAGTAATGATTGTGAACGTCTTGCTAGTACAGTATTTTAAACAAGTCAATAATTTTCTACTTTAATATATACATATAGTGATGTCAATAAATACTTATGTAAAGAAATTATAAAACAATATCCTGATAAACATTTTCATATTATTATTGGTCAAAATCATTAATTTGATTTTTCTTTTGATTTATTTTCGTGCAGATCCTGAAAACTCAATTCGATTCAACTCCTACTATATTAAAAATAACGTTTCGTCATAATAATATAAACAACTATCTTACTGCATTAGTTGAGGATTAAGTAAAATGATGGTAAAGAAATGATCCTAAACAGATAGAATAAACCAATCTTCATGTGATTAGCAAAAGCAGATATATTGTGCTTCACATTTTAATTTCCTAGAGATTGCAGTGACAGCTTTGTGGATGAATATATATTCAACTGAGACTAAGTAGCTTATAAACTGCTAGATTCAATTCAAGTTATAGTTTGGTTTTTATAAATCAATTTTCATATTCTTCAGATCAATTATTGTCGTCAACGTCTTATTCAATTTAAAGAGCTCATCATTTTTCAATAGCTTGTAACATTTTCAAAAGTTTTATTTAACATGTAAATATAGGCATGTAAGTCTTAGAGAAAAACCAAGTAATAACAGAAGTAATAACAACAAACAGAAAACAAGAAAAAAAAATAAACAACGAAATCTATGGTGTTAATTAGCTATAAAGCCAAAATACAAAGTATGTGAAATTTTCTCTTTTTTTAACAAAAAACCAACATACACAAGTAACTGCTGTTGCCTGAGACGACTAGATCAAAGAAACAAAAAAGAACAAAGGTAAACAAAACAAGAAAACAAAAACCAGAACTGTTACATGCGCCCCTTTTAATTAAGTTTTTTTTCTTTTCTAAAGTGTTGAAACAATTGTTTGATTAAACGAAATTTTTAAATTTGATCCTTCTTTTTTATTAGTTGACATTGGTGATAATAGAAGAGGATTGAGCAAATTTTTAATTGTGTCACGTCGTTCACGTTCAGTTATTTGTTGTGATTTTCTTTGTTGTTCATTATTGTTATTATTACTTGATAATAAGCGTGTTTTATATGTATTCAATAATTCAACATTTAATTGTGGAATTGTTTGATATAAAACAATATCAAGTTCTGTTTGATATCGATTATGCCATAATTCATAAATATGACCAATTAATGACATCATATTTGTATTAACACCTTCATTTTCATTATGTCGCTCAAGTCCTTTAAGTAAACATTGAAAGAGAAACTTTATGTCAATTAATGATGATGAATTAATATGTTTATCAATAATATCCGTATAAAGTTTTGTTAATGGAAGAATTATTGGTAGAAAACGATTAACACAATACGCATCAGGAAATGTCAAACATTCAAATAATGTTTTTATAACATAAGTTAAAAGACGTAGAGCAAGTGGTGAATCTAAATTAACAAATAAATTATAAAAAACAAAGTCTTAAAACTGATTTTTCGTCTAATATTATTCTTAAGGATAACTAAACGTCTAATCACTATCGTTATATTCAAGAAATAACAAAGATCAAGTTGAAAAAGTGTCATTGTATCACTTTTATTTTTTTTGCATACGTGATACACAAGTTGATATTGTCGAGTGATTATTATCATCAGGTACACTTCCTATCACAAAACCTTATAGTTCGGTTGTTTCATTCGTTATCGTACGAACGGAAACTTTTTTCCTGTGTCAAAATTTTGTATTTTCTTTTTTGAATATATATTTTTAGCAGATATTTAAGATGATCGCTCTCTCTAAAAAGAATGAATTTTTATTAAAAGATAAATGTATAGGAAGATAGTCCGAGGTTTGACCTATTGTGAAACACGATCTAAAATGAGTGTTGAAGTACATATGGTAGGGATTTTTCACCCACTTTCCACAACTGAGTTGTAGTTGATCGCGAATTTTTGAACTGGTTCAGTTCGGTAAATAATTATTAATCGGTTAATGAGAATGATTTCAAAAAACATTCCTTTTTTCTTTTTGTATCCAGATTTTTACAAATCTCCAACAAGAAAAATATCAGGTTATAGTCATTTGTATCTTTTAGAGTTCTCGAAGATGAATATGTGATATCTCAATAAATAGCACAAAAACACAGTGGTATCAAACATGAAACTTGAATTCAATTATACAAGACCTTTTCAGATATTCAAATATTTTGATGGAGATAGCGTGTATGTACATTTTCGAGACATCTACACAAAAAAAAACGATGATATGTTTTTCTGTGATTACTTGAGTATCTGAATTTCAGATGCAAAATATTCAAGAATTGAATTCCAGTGGCCAATTTGACACACATGCTTTCTTTCGAAAACGAAATATAATTCGTTTAAAGAAATGCAACTGTATGGGCCAACAGAAGAATATAAAACTGAGGATTCTTGAAGCAATATTGTTTGTTTAATCAGATAAGAGCAAGAAAATTTGCTCTCAATAGATTTTATAAAAAAAAAATAGTACATCTATGAAATATTTTCCAACAGGTGAAGATCGACCGGGCTGCTTACAACTCTGCCAGACAGACACCTTAGCAATGTTCACCGTCTCTGTCACAAACCGAAAAAATTGAGTATATAGAATCAAGGTCTACAGATAATTTTGAGTTGGCAAACTATCTATTTTTTGATCCTTGTTTGTTGAGTATCTTTCGAAAACGTGATGATAAAGAACTGAAAATTTTATCAGACTCTCGACTACAGCTCCAACATATCCTGACCGTTTCATACGATTTGAGTGTACCTGATCTAAGATCGATTTTTGAGGGACAAGGAATAGGCTTCATAGGACTATACTCAACTCGAAAAATGCAGCAATATGAATTCTTCGATAAAACTATAAGTAACATCAAACTCAATCGTATATTATTCAGAGAAACATTTCAAATATATGAATAATTTACTTTGTCGAGATATTTTAATCATATAAGTGAATAGATCACTGTAATCCATTTTTTCTTGTGTACCATTTAATAGTTTGTTACTAATACTATTGTAATTAGTTGCTTGTTCATCCCATTCATCAATTTGATCTGTATAACCACTGATACCATTTGTCTCTTCACACATACTTTCACTATGACCATGTCCATTCATTATTTTATTTTTTTTCTTATTCATTCCACTTATTGTTGAATTAGCTTGTCCAAGAATTGTTGTTTTAAAAATAAAATATCGTATAATATCAACAAAATCACGTGTTAATAAAACGCAAACACATTCTTCAATAACTTCATCTGAACATTCACCTTGTTGATAATTAATTGTTGTTGTTAATAAACTATCCCACATAGTTGTTAAACGTTGTTGAATATAAGGTAAAAATACATCAAGAAATGTAAGAAATAATTCATTAATTATTTCTTTATCCAATGTTATTAATGAACAATAATGTTCAACAAATGATCGACACAAATGGCGCAAAACAATACGAAGACGAAACGATGGAAGAGTATTTAAATTTTCAAAAAGAATTTTCTGTAAAAATGATGTTATAAAATAATTATCATCATTTAATTTTAAATAATATAAATCAGTATCATGAGCAAAAAAGATTCCATTTATTTGATAACATATATCAAATAAACGATGAAGATAATCACGAAGACGTTGATCATCAATAATATTGCCACCAGATGTAGATTGAAAACGAACAAAACTTACGGGGAGACTGGATGGTATAGTACTAAAATAAAAAACAAACATCAAATTATTCTATATTGAATTGACTTTTTTTCATTTTATCAAACAGTTCTTGTGTTGTAATGAATAATAATAATAAAGATTAGTTAGAAAAAGATTAGATAAATTTTAAAAAATATATATCTTACGTTGATGTAATTGTTGCTTTAGCCATATTATTACTTTCATAAGTTCCCAAATATAATTGTTTTTCTGTTTCACTATATGTTAAATTAACTTTTAATGTATCATAAAATGGATTTATTTGTCGATCATATAATTGATTACAAAATTGTGTTACTTTTAGTATATAATCAAATAAAACTGGTCGAAGACCAATAGCAATTTTTGAACGTATACTAGGATTTAATTGTTGTTGTTGTTGTTTTGAATAACGTATTAATAAACATAAACAATGTAAAGCAAGCATTAAATTTCGTCGTCGACAACGTATTATATTCATATCAATTATTCCATTTGAACATAAATCAAGATATTGTATAAATGGTATTAATGAATCAACTGTTAATGATGTTATAAATGTTTCATAAATAGGTTTAACAAGTTCATAAAATGCTTCAAATTGTGTTTCATCATTATT